ATATCATCATTCTACAAACCACGTCGACTAGTAAATCGTGTTCCTGTCAATAATTTTCGACAATCTGGTCTTAAATGATATCGTTTCGCTTCATCAAGTAAATCACGACATTTATGTGATGATCTTATCAATAGCTACATAAAAATAAGATTTTTTTTTTTTCTTTCGATATATAATACAAAATTTATTTCACTCTGCATACTTCGTTATCACAAATGTCAGTAATAAAACGAGCACTAAGAAATGGTAATCGAACATGTTGAAGAAGTGTGAGTAAATATTGTTGACGAAATGTTTGATCATGTTTTATCCAAGCCATAACACAATTATAGATTATTTCTTCATTGGGTACCTTTATTACAACAAATATTAAGAAGTTTCTGTTGACTACAAGAAAAGAAATACTTAAATAACTAACTTCAATTTCATCGGATTGTATAAGATCTTCAACTTCATTTGCTTTTAATGTTAAAAATTCTTCACTATGAACTACAGCTGCGAAATGCGTCCAGATAAATGATAGAGCTAAAATTTCATCATAAATTCATTTTGTTCTTTTGTTTTCTAATATGTGTTTTTATTATTACCAGTTTGTTTTAATTGTGAACAATTGTGTAGATCAGCAAAACAATAAATGCCCAAACAATTTGCTGGTTCAAGATGACTAGCAAGAAAAAGAGCACATTGTCGTTGTATATCTGAAAAATAGAATTTATAAAGCTAATAAATAAATAGAACACGAATAAAATATAAACCAGTTCCATTTAATTGAAGTAAAGAAGCAGCCGGAAGAATATCTTGAACATTATCATTTGTTACTATAACTGGTTCACCATAGATTGAATTTAAAAGAATTTCCATTACAGAAGCACTGAAACCTTTTAATTCAATGACATTCATGTGACGTTCAACCATCTAAAATAAGTTATTTTTAAAAAAAAAGATAATAGTAATAATAAAAAATTTTCGATTTACTTCTCCAGTAAACATAGCAGCAAAATAATCACTAGCAGCTGCTAAGACAAGACGATGAGCAGGGAAAAGGGTTTGTTCAACTTTGAGTGTTACATCACAAAGATGTTCAGCTTTACGAAGTTTATTCATACGTGCAATTAATTGTTGAGAATGAACTAAGTCATGGGAAGTATTCGTTGTTGATGCTCCATCGACCAAATTCGATGTTTTTGAATCATATCTAGAGAGAAGAAGACTAAAAAATGGAAGAAAATAAAATATTTATTAACATACTCAAGAAATCGATCATTTTGAGAGATAGAACCAGGAACTTTGCTTTTAGGTGTATTATTAGTATTGTTGATTGTTGAACTTGCCATTTTCTGCTCTGAATTATGTGCTCTAATAATATAAAAATCAAGGATAATGTTTAGGTAGCCACATATACATTGGATTGGATGCAATTAAGTAAAACAGCTGAGTAACAAACAAAGATGTCGCCGAAAGTTGTACGTCAAGAAGAAATATATAATATTTTACACTCCAACTTAATGATACACATGTTTTTCTTTTTGTCGATACTTATATGTTATTTTAAGCATTTATTCAATATAGTCATTGTGTCTTATTATTTTTGCGTTTTATGTGTTCTAACATCAATTACATTAATAGTATTTAATTATGAGTAGTAAAAAGATCTTATCGAAAATTGATTTCCATGTTAGCAAAAAATTGATAATATCTCAAGGTGAAGTATTGTATTCTGCTATTCTGTTGAATGGTCGAATGTTAAGAGTGAAGGAATACTCAACACATGAATTGCTATGTTGTTCATATATTCTGATTGCACTTTTAATATATGATGTATGAAACTAATAACTATTGAATTCATCTACAGTCATGAGTAAAAAAAAATCAATTTTTTATCGATTCTTAATATTTCCATCTACTTTTCAACTAACCTGTAGAGCATGACGCTTAGTATGTTTAATTGTGGAACTTATCAAGTCAGACTTGAACTCTGATTCAAGTATCTTCTGTTGCATTAATCAGAGTACAAGACAATATTTGATTCAAAAAGATATTTAATTTATATCGAAAAGTAGACAAGAAAATTTTTTTATTATAATTGATGAATAGAGTTAACATGATAAAAGCTAGAATTGAGCTTTTCATAACCATTTTGAATCTAGATTCAACTGGCTCTGTGAAAATACGAGTCCAAATCCAAAAACGTTGCATTAATGAGACTGGCTTTCTAGTTCACAAAAAAGTGAGAACTGACAAAGTGTCTCTGATTGACTGATAGATATATATCTCCCTATGGACTAATGTTTTTAGTTGGAAGAATTTTTTGTAAGTAGCACAATAGTGTTATAACATGCTTTCTTACCTTTCCTATTTAACTATAAAAAGATAATGAAAATATTATCTCTAACTTAGTTTTTTAATCAATGTATACGATGGTAAACTTGCTAGATAAGCCTTCAATAATTTCATCATTCATAAATTATGCCTGATTGAGACGTGCTTCACATCCATAGGTTATTTTAATATGTTACTCCCAGAAATTCTAAATATAGCCCCTAAGGCATTACTCCCTTTCACTCAATATTCATGAAATCCGTTCAAACTGCTGTTTTGATTGCTGATGTGATCATAGATCGGCTAGAAAAGAATTCAGACTCCTGCAAAATTGTCGAAGATTCTCCTATAAACTTTGGAAGCGTTATAGGTTCTGATGTGCATTCTTTTTTACTGATAAGCTTGGTTGATTTTCAAATAGGTGTAGTTCTATATTGCGTGTTTTCACCATATGAAAACAGTCATATGCTGTTTGTAGCTTCTAATTAAGAACAGATTTGTCATTTCTTTAGAATGTATCCGAAAATAACATCCGACAATCTCAATTGCTCCTTGAAACTGTGCAATAGTAGTTCACTTACATAAATCAGAAAACCCAAACATTTTAGGCATAATTACAGCAGGAGCAAGGACAAAATTAAGAGCTACATCAACATATAAACAATTTATAATAACAAGGTAAACATCAATAATTTTCAACTATCGAGACTCTTTGTTTTAACTCATAGTTTCTTCTTTTATCGGTAGTGGGCATCGTCGTATTTACAGGTGTATGAGAATATGGCTGGTTTTTTAATCCAAACCAAAACTCTATTAGATTACAAATAAACAGATGCCAGTACCAAATTCAACAGTACTAATACTCTTAGGTACATGATTTGGAATATGAATATCAGACTGAGAAGAACAACATATAAGATAATGATTATTTGGATATTAGTAAAATATTTGATTGAACTGAATCTTATATGAGTTTTTGATAAATTAAGTATCAAACTAAACACTACAATCAAATTATCACTAAGAATAAGTAATTTTTTATGATTATATATATTTTGCTCCATCATTATTTGATAGAATCAGAGAATTTCATCATACTGCGCTAGTAAAACTTTTGGCTGACTACATTAAATATGTGTGACAAACCAAAGATAGTAATTCATTGAATGATTTTTCGTTTCGTAAATAAGTATCGTCGTCTTCAAGAGGTAATTAAAAATAATATATGTACAATTATCTAAACCATTCTTCAGTTAAAAAAGAAAATCTTCCATTCTGTATAAAATCTATAATTACAAAAGATAAATATTTTTTTTTTATATAAACTGGATTAATCTTTTTTGACTATTTGCCAATCGTAATTAAATATGCCAAATTATTTTTTAATTGTACAATTACTTATCTAAATCAATATAAATACTCTATACTTTCATCAGAACACTAGTGAAATAAAATAATAAACAAAAAATTGTTATGTGACAGTATCATATGATTATAATCTTTAGATAGAAAATAATTATCGGATTAATGAAAATACATCCTTTTTGGTATTTAGTCAAAGTGTTTCGTTTTGAAAAAACGAGCGAAGAATATCAAAGGAATAATGTTTATGTAAAATAGCCACTGAAATCCATCGCTGTTGATTTTGTTTGAGGTGTTACTACTGATGGATCAGTTGGTTTACGAAGAGGTCGATATTGTTGTATATTAGCTCGTCCAAATTGAAATCGATCACGAAAATATAGTCGTGGTGTGTGATCTAAGCCAGTGAATGTTGGATAAATTTTATTGCCTTTGATTCCATTTATATCATAATCATATTGAATTGATCGAGCATGTTCTTGACAATTATTTCTATTATGTATTTCCTTTTGTGCATGTTCACAGGATAGTTGATGACCACGCAGAACATAACTATTTTCAAATGTTTTTAAACATGATGGAAAACCGATACATGGGTGACGCATTATGTATGTAAGGGTATTTTCTTTCTGTGTTCTCAACTGTTTGTATTATGATGTCTACTATTTATTTGTGTTGCTAGACACCTCATTCTTGAACACAAGTGAGAAAAAAGCATTAACTCTGTCGTACAGAATGTCGATGAAAATACGGTTCTTTTTTTTGTGTTTTATGTGAGAGAATAAACAAAAGAATTGAGTGAATAACGAACGCTAACTAACACTAGTCACGCACTCAACGAGAAGAGAGTATATTTTTTACATCTGAAGTTACTTTTGGCTGCATAAGTTTCTTTTAATTTACTTGCAAACATCTGAACATACTATTAAAATACATATAAACATTATACAAAATCATAAAGAAGAGTGAAAACAAAAGATAAATGTAAGCGATAGAAAACTACTAAATGACAATTAATAAATCCTAGAACTGTACCGAACTTGATCAATAAAGGTTGAGAGCATTTCAGTCCCAGATTTCAGTTAAATCAATTTATAAAGTATATATCGAATTACTGCCACCATTGCTCTTTATTTTATCCAGATTACTCGCGCATTCATAAACATCTTTGCCGAAAGTAGCGGATAGCAAGCACTTTGTTTTGCTACCGATCGATGCATAAGATTTGGTCTGTTGATATAGAATATTCTTATCATTTCTTTGTCGCGTTGTACTTAGTTTCGAAAAATATTTGTCATTCTTATTAATCGTTTTTGATGTGAGTTTCGACTTAGTCTTTTTATTCGAGTGCCGAAAACATTTTGTTTTTCCTTGTTTTCTACAACCTTGAACCTTTCTGTTAGTCACTCTGTCGTCAGATACGTTCTTTGATTATTGCTCTCTTTGTTATTTTTTCATTTTATTTTATACTTGAAATGAACTACTAATTTATAGAGACCTACTATCGTTAAATAATATACGTATTTCATCAGATCTTGCTTTTTTCTAGTTTGTTCAATTCTTTATATATTAAATGCAATACAGAAAACTAGTTTCTATAATATATGTGTATTTATATACATACACATGAAAACGAAGCAAATTAGATGATTGCAATTATAATCTGGAAAAGGCACTAGAAATAATCAACCAGTATAGAGACATTAGAATTAGTTACATGATTAATTCCATTTAATATCATTGATTTATCTTGTGGAACCATTTTAAAAACAAGAAAAACAATAGATTTATTGGTCGTTTCATTTAAAATCAACTAGTCAAACGCAAAAGCTTAAAATATGCATGTGTTTGCAGGAAATTTTCATAAATTCGTGTTTATTTGGAAAATATTTTCCATATTGTGGTGTTTCATGCATGAAGGTAAAAACAATTTCAAGTATTTGCAAATGTTTCGCATAAATACAAAACAATAGCAAATATGTAGATGTGCATATCGCAAACACATGAATGTTAGTGTAATTTTTCAAATTGTTAAGCAAACCATGCAAGAGTGTGCATGGTTCTTATCCTTACAAATAATTATATGTAGCATTCTTGCGTTTTTATGCAAAATATGTCTCACATGTACATGTCACGGTGTTATCGGCATGTACCTTCAAGATGGTTATAATTTTGCTAAACTCTGCATGCCATTGCAATAAGGTCCTTTTTATGAAAGCTGTCACCAGAGTGATTCTAGATTGGCATGCAAATCTCTACCATTTTGTAGTGGACATGCTGTTCCCTGTAAGAATTTATTGTTTATCTTCGGCATGTATTTATTTATTTCTCATTAAAGTGGAATCGCTCTCATATATCCATATTAAACTGGATCAAAAACTTTGCTCAATTTTTCAAATTCGCCAATAATTATTGATATTTATGTTCATACATACATAGTAGTTATCTGATGATCAGTATGTTCTTCAGTTTTGATTGCAACACTGTTGTAACTTGATGGTCGAATGGTGAAGAAGTTCATCTGATAAAACACAGTATGTATATCTGAATCTTATCTCTGGCAAAAAATTCTCGTGTGTTCATGTATTTGTACCTAAGGTGTTTCATTTTGCTACTATTCTAAAATTATTTTGAATGTGCATGCGTGGACTATCTACAATAGTATTCATATGTCCTTGCATGTAATAACAATATTAAACATGTACATACGCAAAATTTCATACATGTGTACATAAATATCATTTTCGCTATAACATGTTTCCACTCGTGCCATCTCATAATCATTCATACATGGATATAAATTTTATGAGCTTTCGCGTTTGACTGTGCTATTGCTCTCCAATAAAAGATCGATCACCATGATTAGAAACACGTGCTTTCTGCAATAGAATTTCACTATTTTGATCAAATACCGATTTGTTGTTGTTTTTTTAAGAAAATGATTAGGACTTAAAACTTATAGTGATGGAAGAAGAGAAGCAGCTGACGTCTATGGAATGACCAATACAAATAGGACACTAATGGTACTGGTATCAGTATTAATACGAAAGAAAAAGAACATCAAACTTCAAAGCTATAGAAATTAAACAAGACCCAAAGTCAGAATAACAAAAAGTAGCGTGCTTTAGTTCCAACTGATTATGTTGTAGTTCGCTTCTCTCTTCATACAGTAAACAAACTCACTACATTCACGACGATGAATAAATTTTCACACACAATCAAACATATTCTTTTGTGGTTGTTTAAGTCATATCTTTAGATCAATTCCAAGCAATATAGGATAGGATTATTAACAATAGGTTATTAATTAACATGTGAAACAGTAATAGATAATTTAAACATATGACTATTATTAAACAGTTTACAAAGATAGGTGGTAACAGAGATGAAAGTTATAGTATTTGTTGTGAGAAGTCTATCATCGTATTGCTAAAACTGATAATGACAACCTCTCGTTGCATAAACTATCTGTTAAGTGCATTTACTTTTATCCTTAGAAACTTGTGTAGATATTGAGTTTCAGCATCCATATCATGCCTCCATATTTTTGAGAGAGAATAGAAAACAGCTGCACATTTCAGACATTTTTTTTAATGAGCACTAATGAGATCTCGATATTCTTTTGGGATCAAACAATACGTGAAAAACTATCAAGCCTACCTCTATCACATTGAAAATGCGTAAATACTGAAGAGAGGTTAGTAATCACGTAAAAAAAATAATTGTCGACTAATAGAGAAAATATTGACTAAAAACTAACGAGAAATAGGAAACAAAAAAAATAGCACGTGCACTCTGATAAATCAGTGACCAATTATAGCAGCTTATAATAATTATTACATGCCTTTTTTCGTTCTCTGAAGTTGTTTTGCTACAATAAGTTTATTTATTCATCGAAAAACAATACGAATATGTTCCAAATATTTTTCTATAACGCCTCAACAACTTTTAATCATTCATTAAATGACACACTTTCTTTTATTTTTCTATTGTTGGTAAAGATTTCTGATAACATTAACAGTAAAGAGAACCAGTACTCATAAACATTGTAAAAAGCCAAGAAAAACAAACGTAGCGTAATTATTAATGATGAAAACAAGGTCGATGACATTTACAATGAATTTATTACTTAACATTTACCAACGTGATCTACATAAGTAGATCCATCGCTTTAATCATTATCATTTCATGCATTATGTTATAATTTCTTTGATAATATCAACAGCAGTATCAAATAACAATACTAGTAATTTACAAAATAGTCTTATACGGGAAGAATATGTTCTATGGCAGCTTGTCACGCGTGACAGTAATCATGAAACGACGGGATGTAAATTTTGTAATATGATAATTAAAACAAATATTTGACCAACAACTCGTTTAAGAAAGCATTTGCTTTGGTTGACAAAATGCTAGCGATTCAACCAGTTATAGTTACATAAAAGCCCAAAATGTCAAATTCATGAAAAAAAACTAAATAATTTAGCGATTAAGTCAATAATCGTTTATGGTCGACGATTTGATGATTTTCGACGTGCAGGAATGACAAATTTCTTGAAGAATACTAATCTTGGTAACTATTTGGTTTAGAATGATAGAGAATGCAATCTACTTAGGTTTACAATTAGGTAGAGTTGAGCTTTTCGTGATCTATCAGTGTCAACCTACATAGACGCGGTTTTAAATGAAACAATTTTCGATTTTTGAATGGCTTAATCGTGAAAATACTCGTGCATTGTCTGTTCAATATTTAGCCTAGATTCATATTATAAAGATTGATATTTTCCAATACATTGGACTATATGTATGCAGCTGTCTTCTGGAAAGATCTTTATTGAACATTTACGTAAGGCAAACACTAACCTTACTGTGTTAAAAGAGTAGAAATTCAATGGTAGTGAAGAAAAAACGGCTATAATGTTAAAGTTGAGAATGAAATTGGCACTAAGAGCTGATTATTTTTTATTAGAGTTTCTGCATATTCGTTTAGAATATATTACGTATCAGTAAAATTTTAGTCTAGCAGTCAGATAACTTAGGAAAACTCAAATAAATCAAATCTGGTAGCATTCAAGTCTTTTATGTCGTCGAATATTTGAATCATTTTCTGATAGAAGATCAGCTGCTATTCTACTGCGAAAATATTCTTGCTAAGAAAACAAACAGTAGTCACATGTCCTTGATGCATTTTGAAAGTTTCAACAAACATAAACACAATTTCCTGTCATAATATAACTGATTGTGTAAAGCTTTATTTCGTGAAACAGTGTGGAAAGTATGAAACTTTCCCATATGTTTAAATAGTGAATAGTTGATATGTTGATATAAATAGTAATATTACTATAGCGTAAAACTATAAAAGAAAGACGAAGTGCCCCGTTGATGTCGTCGTCATGAATATAATAACTAACCTATTATTCGATGATGATTGATTTATCAATTTTCAAATTCATTTTTCAACTATAATAAGTATTCAACGTTTCACTTATTTTGTTTTCTTTCATTTCTCTATGCGCTTAGCGAACCAATCACTTAAATGAAGAGCGCGGAAAAAATTCTTTTAAACTAATTATAAAATAAAATCTTTTCATCATGTATAGATGTA